ATCATAGTTTACGTCTTATGAATTTTTGAAAAGCTTTTTATTTGTTCTTCCTGTACAAAAATTTTGAGATTTGTATCTTATGAGAAAATAGCAAAAAATCCTTTTCATCTAAAAAAGCACAAATGAAAAAAATTGTCATGTTTTGCGAATGAAAAGTCGATTTTTCATTGTTTACGCTGAACAATTTTTCCCCCAGGAAAAATGTCTCAAAAATTGCAATGAAACGCATAAAACACCCTTTTCAGAACATAATTATAGATGTTCAGAATTATTCTAAAATGTTTTTCAAGACTTTAAATGAATATTTCTCATATCTTTTAAATTTTTTCACTTGAAAACATTAAGGAAAAAGTTCAAGTAAAGTATGAAAAGTTGGTTTTTAGAGCTTGTTTGGATAAAATCGACTCGAAGACTAATAAAAAGACACTTTGAAAAATAAAAATTTTCAGATTTTCCATTAATTTCACCATATTTTAGTCAAAAATTACAATAAATACCGATAAAATAAACTAAGATATTTAAAAATAAAGAATACTTTGCAATATTTACACTTTAACGGACGATTTGAAGGCTTTTTAAGATAAATTTGGCAAATTTTGCAGCAATATTGAGGCGAAATCTTGAAAATGCTCTGCTGAGAAATTACATTTTTGGCTTTTCATAGTTTTCGAGGCACCCGTCGATATGTATATGGGTGAGTAAAGATTTCGTAGACAAAACATTTAATCTCCTTAAACTTTTCTTCTCTTTAAAGTGGAAAAGTGGGACAATTTTAGACTATAAATTTGAGGCTTGACTTTGACGCTATTTAATCCTATACGCGCTTCTTCTGATGAAACAGTGGGAGAAAAGCTCAATGTAACGATCGATTTGCAAGCAATTTGCTGGGTGGAAAACCAGCTTAGTAAAATGGTTCTTCTCGGGTGGCACTTGAGCGCCCCTTTTCCCGATTTCTTTCCCATGATTTTCCCACCGCACAGTTTGTGATTTTAAGCACTTGTATAAATTATTAATGTGCACATAAATGTGATGCCATTAAGAACACACGAGAGGTGCTGGAGACAGAGATAAAGGTGTAAAATCCACAAATCGGAGTTTTACACATTTTCCCACCTTTTATGCTCTGCTCGGTGGAAAGCTGCGGGAAAAGCTTGTGTTTCATTACTCAAGCATGTTTTCCTCACACGGCATGCGGAATGGCTTGAGCAATGGGACTTGATTTTTCACATCATCTCCTCACCTGCCGCGCCAAAGCACTCCATGTGATATTCAATTTCCGCGCCACTTCAGCGGAAATCACGTCAATTTTCTACACCACTTTTTTCTTTTATTTATTAGAAGCATTCCCACAAATTCCCAGCCTCGCCAGCCAGGATGGTGGCGAACGGAGATCCCTGGATGTGTCACTTACTTTGTCCGGACTCCGCAAACACCTCAACTTATGGCATCTGTTTGTGTTTCACATAATTATGATTGATTGTCAGAATGTGGTCGGATGGCGGCTGATGGGTGAGCCTCGTCTCCAACCCCCAGAATGATGCCGTCGCTGGAGCATTGTGCGATTGGAGATAGAGAAATGGATGGATGAGTGGGATTAACTGATGACTGGATGAGAGATTGAATTTCCTTATTCATTACCTTAATGACAACTTTAAGCAATTTCTCAAAATCACTCAACAATCATTTGGCATTGTCGCTCGTGTGGGGATTTGGCGTTGTCAAATTACACGTGTTACTTTCCTCATATAGCCAAGGGGGAGATAATGTGCTCCCAATCTGTAAAACACTTCCAGCACTTCTAATTTCTAGACTGTTTCCACAATAATTCACAAATCATAATAAAAATCTGAATGTTTAATGCGATATTTCTGAAAAAAGTCCATTTCAAACCGCTTTTTTAGCGTCTTTTCTGACCATAACCTCAAAATGATCACTAAGAGATCTTAAAAGATTCCATTTAAAAGCTTTCTAGATAACAAAAAAAATCATCTTTTATGAATTACTAGTTAGAATCGTGTAGAAAGTAGTTTAAATAAACATTTTCCATGCCAACAATACACTTTTTGAGGTTATGTTTGACTTCAACACGAATTTCTGTGTTGTTTTTGGCATCAAAAGTTCAGAATAGAATTGTTTATCACCATGAAATGCCTAATTCTGCCAATGATTAGCAATTTTGTTGATTTTAGCATAAGAATTGATGTGAAAGAATGCGAAATATTCCACTAAATCTGTCCGTTGTTCATGACATAACCTAGAAAAAGATTGTTTCTTCGAGCAAATGGAAAAAAGAATCCAAAGAATTGAGATGATTTCACAGTAAAAAGAGCAACATTTCCACTTCTTTAGTACTTCTGCTGTCCTGTACACCACTTCTGACTGTATTATCTCCCCCTTGCATGTAGCTAAAGTTGTGTATTTGGAGCTTTTGTAGTTGGAATTCATTGACTTCCATCTGTGCCCAAGGCGCGGGCATTCACCCACAAATGATGTACTGCTGTCGAGTTAAAAGTCCACTTGATTATGATCGAGTTTTGCGTGACGTTTATTTAGCATTTAAAAACATGGTTCATGTTAGTTTATAATCTAATAAATATATTACCTTTTTTTATACATTTATAAAATATAATCATATGAATTAATCTCCATGTGTGACTATTTTTAGAAACATTTACACTTAATATGGAAATGGGGACACTTTTTTTTCCTTCTCCTCCTTTCATCATTATTCTGCTTTGAAAATGCAAATAATGCGCTCTTCTTATCGAAACTAAGGCTGGTAATTAATTACTATTTACACAGAATAAACTATTTTCGCAATGCTTCCTCAAGACATCTTCTTAATCCTATTTTATGTATGAAGAGAGGGTGTATCACCCGATTTTCCATCTCAATGCTCACGATAGTTTAATATTGTACACAATCTCTATATTATGTCTGAATGCAGTGTAATTTTCCACTGGTTGGAAAAGGGGGGGAAGAAGGAGGGGGAGGCGCGGTAGAGATAAAAGACAGATTGTAAAGTGGGGAAGAACTAATAAAATACATTATATGGGCAAATAAATTCCCTATCGCAATACTCAAAAATTCCCACCCCAACAACCCCAAAAAGTGAAGAGGAGAAGAGTTGGAAAAACTTCCGATTCAACTTCTGCAGCATCAGCTTTCAGCATTTGAGAAATGGAGAGGGCTTTTCTTCAGCTCATGGGGTATTGTTTAAGTTTTTCGGGGGTGGGCGGCGTGGGGGGCTGTAAATTTCCTATTATCGCCGTAATATACACATAATACCTCCTCGAGAGTCTCTCAAATGGAAAACAATAAAGCCCAGCACAGATATTTTCTTTTAGCCGCACCACATACAAAATACTTCGCCGTATACATTTAATTCCGAGTCTCTCTTCCTGTTACAAGTAATTAAAATTGATTTCATGCGAATGCAGATGAAAACTGTGAAAATTAATTTCACCACTTCTTTCCATCTGGCTCCAAGAGTGCTTGAAGATGTGAGAGAATGACACTGTGCGCGAGAATGTACACTACAATTGCTCAGGCTTTAGCGAGAGAACTTCTGGGCTTCTGGGCGGGGCATGAGAATGGGCGGGGCTTCTCTGAGCATATTCTCTATTTATGATAACTTTATCATCTATTCTTCCTCCTTGCACTGAAAGTACACCAATTGAAGGGATTGTGCTCACCTTGTCTGCGGTGGATGTTGAAGAAGAACACTTTTGGAACCACCCCCACTTTCCACACACACACATACCCTGTCTTCATCACTCCTCTTCTCATTCTTACTACACTGAGTTGTGTGTATATAATTTTAATTCTTATACATAATATTGCGTAATGAGTATTGTGTTGGACGGGGCGTGGGATCTCGATGAGGTTCTCGGTGGCTGAGCTGTATTATGTGTGGATGTAACTAAAAGCGACGTCAATTTTGTGTGTCACGACACAATGATGAAGATGAAGATGATGATACTCAGTTTCACTTGGCGAGAAAACTTGGCCCAACCACTTCTCCATCCACCAGCGAATTGGAGTATCCACGAGAGCCACCGAAACTTTTCTCCCTCGCTCCAGAGGAGAGAATCTTTTGTCATGTGTAATTTATGCTGTAATTTCTATATCCGCCCGTGCCAACACACAACCCGAGGAAAGAAAAGTCGAAGGGGGTGGGTTTTTGGGGGTAGTCTGAGTTCGTGGAAATGCGCTGCATGTGAAATGAATGAAAATATTTATGCTACTATCGTAATAAATTCATAAAGAATGAGTCACCAATTTTTCCTCCAGCAAAGTGCAATCTATGAACCTTACGTTTTTAGATACATATTCTCTATACATATATATCTATCGCCCAAACATGGAATTTTGTCTCATCATCACACACACAGCTCTCTCGCTATGCTGCAAACATGCCACCCACACAAAAATCCCCTTGATTAATTCCATTGTTCTTTCATATTCGGACGAAGTGATCAATGCTGTGTCCACTGCAGAGCTTCGCCAGCAACCCTCAGAGAGCAACCCCTTCTCTCTCTCTATCTCATGCCCCAAATCATCCCCACGCGCGCTGTTATTCAATAACACGCTGCATTGTCACTCTATTATTGAATATTTTCCCGCCCTCTCGCCATTTTTCCTGTGCCAGCGAACTCAATTTTCATTAAAAAACTTTTCGCCGTCATATATTCAAATTGCGAGCTTTTAGCCTCATCTTCTCCATCGCAGCTGCACAACACCATTCACTTCGCACTTTGCACAATAATGAGAAACACGGTGGATATTTTCCACCCTCACATCATGCTCCATTGTTCCTCAATCTTCCATTCTTGACGCCCTCCAAGCGCTTCACCTCTTCCTCGCCGACACTAATGAAGCGACTGGTTATCAAAAGAAAAAAAAACTTGTAAAAATTGTGTAATCATCAATACGCTGTCCTCAGTTTGAAATTGAGTTTGAAAACTTTTATCGCGCGCTTCTTCAGTCCATTTTTCTCAGGTGGAAATTTTTCCTTTTTTTTTTCTTCAATAATTATCTCCAATTTATGCACTACAATTAATTACTCTGGCTTCTGCTCTCCTTTATTAATTACAACTACCTATTTTTAGAGGGAAATGACAGAGCTCAATTTTTTTTTTCTTCACCTTCTTATTACAATTTTTTTTTTTCTTTGCATTTACGTGAGAAGAGAAAAACGTCAAACCCGCACACATGAAGAGCGCGTGGGTTTTTCTGGGATATACAAGAAAAAAAGAAAAAAACGATGAACTCAAATCCACTTGGTTTTGAATGAGCCACACTTTTACACACATAATAATTTTATGAAATGCGCACCACAGTTTTTGTCCCTTGTATCATATATAATTCATATAATCTCTCTGGATTCCCTCGCACGACTAAAACTCGTCTCACTGGCCGCGGCGCAGCTTAAAACCGCCACAGAAGGCCAATTCGGGCCACGCTGAGCACGGTGAGGTGCAGACTCCATATCGAGAGACTTCCTGTCCCCGAGCTCGGACTGCTGTAGTGGGTGACACTCATGTCCCTCATCTCGGTGTCTGGCGCGGGGGAATGACAGGCAACAATGTAAATTAAATTCGAGCGGTAAAAAAGCAACCCCAAGGGTTGTCAGTAATTTTCCGGGATATCTCAATTCGCCTCCGCACGGCACACATTGCCATGTGGAGGCGCCATTCCCGTGCACTCGTCTTGTTAACCAATGAATATAAAAGCGCCCAGAGTTGGAGGGTGGATAGATAGCGAGCACTGATAGAAATGTCCCCGCAATTTTCACATTACAAGGGGAAAGTCACAAGCGATTTCTCACCATTAACTTTGATATTTACTTAAATTTTGTATTATTCGCTACAAATTCCAATCATTTTTATGATTTTTACTATTTTCTCCACATATTGCCGCCAGAGGGCAGCAGTTGAAACTGCAAAGGCATGTAGAAGTTCCGATTGTATTTCTCAAAGGTCAGATTCGCTCTAAGCGCTGGGATTCTTGCTCCTTATGTTATTTACAAGTTCGAATTAATATTTTGCCAATTTTTGAAAATATTAAAAAAAAATAATTTGATTTACTAAAATATTTTGCAATTTTACTTGGAAAATTATCATTTTTCGGTAATATTTATCTTTTAGCAATATTTTAATACTTGATTAAGAACTATAAGAAGATTTTCTTCTAGGTGTTGAATAAAGACTTCTTTCCCATGTTAAACATCGACTTTGACGAGTAAAACTGTTACAATTGCAAAAGTTATTCAAATGGGCGTGGCGTTTGAGTGGGCGGAGCTTGAAAAAATCTCTCTTTGCGTATTATGTACGATTTCGTCTAGTAAATTTACTTTTTTCTCATTTTCATCAGTCAATCTACCCTGTGGAAATCATCCCTCAACTCTGTTCGGGAGTGAATCAAATTTTCCAGGAAAATCTGATGGCGCAAGTGAAGCACTCTGAATTTTGTGTTTGCTCCATTTCATTTTGTGTGCATCTTCGGGCGCACATTTTTCTGCGCTCAATAATGGCCATGTATCAGCATAAAGATAAACTCCACACACGAGATGGAATGGCACAAAGTGGGTGTAAAATTTAATTTTTATGCTGCAGAAAGCTGCTCTCTCACCTGTATTGGAGGTTGTGAAGAGGAATCTCTCGGTGAAATCACTCCAACCAAAGCGATTTCTGTAACAAGCAACAAGACGCTTTAGGTGCACATTTTTGTGTGTGGGGGTGGTTTGTGAAGAGGAATCACCATCAGTGGAGTCGTGGGGGAGCCACAAAGCGTGGTACAATTGGACTGTGGAAAGTGTGGGAGAATCATAAATTATATGCACTTCCCAGACACTATGCACAGGGTTGTTCTCGCAGCCATTTTCCTCCGGCGGATGCTGGGGAATTGTAGATTTTAGCACACGATTGCTGTCTCCCGAGAGCGCGATGCCCTCTTGAGGTGGTAAAAATTCCCTGGTATTTGTTTTTAAACAACCAAACCCCGCGCGGACCGTATCTCAGGAAGGGCGGTAAGGGGTGGAAAATATAAATTTACTGTGGTAAACACTTTTTGGGCCCTCCGACACCACATTCGCTGCAGAACACAAGTGCATGTTGGGTTTTTCGTTGAGATTGGCAAGAAGCTCTCTCTCTCTCTCTGGGTAAATATCAAGAGCAAACCATTTACTCTGGAGAGAAAGTCTAATATATGACCATGTTTGTCTCTGTGATTTCATCCACCAACCAACCGACTATCTTCAGCACTTGTGCACTTTTTTCCACCCTCATCCACAGAGCGGAGCTTGCGGCTCTTGAAATTAAAAACTATGTACTCAAATTACACAACTCCCAAGTTCACTTTCAATTCCCTTCGTTATCATTTGCAGTGGCGTGCACTCGCCGCCCTGCAGGGATGAATTGTGGCGTTGGGGTGTGTTTGCCGACGGGGGTGTGGGTAAACTGCTGTGACAGGGGGCGATGGCAGGCGAGAGGGTAAAGTTCGCGACGTACCTTGATTGCACTTTGGCTTCGTACTGCTGATCTGGATCAAGATTTCTTATCACGTAGCTCATTCCTTGAGTGTAGTGCGGTGATACGGGAATGGCGGGAAGAACAATGTCTCGCCACTCGTTCTTGCCCCAGTGAATGGCATTCCCGTAGCCGGCGTGGTAGTTGAAGGTGTCGTAAGCGGGACTCGGCGGCTGATCCTGCGGAAAATGCCCCAGTTATTAGACACTCGCAATTTATAGTGTTTGATTTTCCCTCAGACTTTGCCTGCAATAAGTGGGAATTTGTGCTGGCAAAGTCTGACGTGGAATTAGCGATTTGTCTTTTCTTTCTCAAGGGATTATTTCACAGAATCTCACATTCAAATTTCTCCTCAAAACTTTCCCTGTTTTTGCAACGTCTTACCTAAATCTAGCCTCTTAGCAACAAGTAAACTTCGTGTGCTATTCAGATAGCAAACAAATGGGTAAATAAGTGTCGTTTCGAATGTTGCAAGATTAACACAGAAAAACTCTGGAAAATAGTTAAAATAAGCAATTAAATATTGCTGAAATACAACCCAGCAAACCACAAATGCTAAAAAGGGAAAATTAACTAAAAATTGCTGTTTGAGCGCTTGAATGTGGCTCAATTTCGATGAATATTCTCAGCAATTTTCCAGAATTTTTGCTTAATATTTTGCTAAAATTATTGCTTTTTAGTGATCAGATATTAGCAAGGAAACAGGAAGTCTATCTTCCATGATGCGACATCTATCTATTTAATATTCGCATCAGTATTTTGCTTAATCACCGCTGTGATCACTAGTTTTCCTACTAAATTGCTAAAATCTTAGCGGAAAAACGCTAAAAAATCAGATATTTTAATCACAACTTTGAGCAAAATCATTTCTTAAGCCAAAATATCAAGCTTTGTCTTGTTTACTATGGGAAATGAAGCTAAAATTCTCAAACTCGGTGTAAATTGCGGTGGAAACCGTCAAACTGCAAAGATTTGCGCTAATTAAGGCTGAAAAACAAGACTCACCGGAATGAAGGGCGACCGGAGCTTGGGCTCGTAGATGTGCTGGCTGTGGTCGGACGTGGAGAAGACGGGCTTGTAGTAGAGCTTGTACTCCTCCACGGGCGAGAAGGAGTCCACGGTCCAGGAGATGTTGTACTTGTCGCGCCACTGACTCATCGCGGCGGACCTGAACGTGGCCACGTTGGGCTTGCCCGTGAGCGTGATGCTCTTGCGACTCTTGCCCAGCTGATTGTCCGCCACGCACGAGAAGTTGCCGAAATCCATGGCGTGCACCTTGCGGATGATGAGCGTGTGTCGCGCGCCGCGCGCCTCCGTGATCATGCGATCCGTCTGGTCGATTTGCATGGTGTCCTTAAACCACATCACCTGCGGCGCGGAGAAAGAGTGTGATTGATAGTCGGCGGGGGAGGGGTTTGGCGGGGGTGGGATTAATTACCTCCGGTTGGGCTTCACCGTGAACAATACACACGAGTGACGCCTCCTGACCCTCGCCCGAGAACACAACCTGGCGCTCCACGGATATCTCAGGCGGATCTAAACATTCAAATAATTCTGTGCCAATTATTTGCGCCCCTTCTCGCATGATGGTAATTAAGACATCAAAATTCCCCACCAGCACCACTCATGATCCATTAAAGTATTATATTGTATTAATAAGAATTTCATGCACATACGAAAGCGAGCATTCACATATTTTCACACACATGCAACGTTCGAGTATAAATTGTGCGGTAAACGTAAATTAATGAGATGGAATTTGTGTGACGGGGCAAGCTGGAACGTACCCATTATCGGGCTCGTTGGTGGCAACATGCAACCCCGAGGGGCGCGCGTGGGTGGCCGTGATTCACCCTGTGCCGAGTGTGAGCCACGAAAGGGCAAATCTTTTCCCCCCCAAAATCATCTAAAAGTGTCTCAATAATGATTTGCTCCACTTCTGGCACTTTATGCGACTACAGTTGAGTCCGGAAACCATGCTTTTTACTACATTGGCCGCGCATAAAGCGGGCGACCCTTTTCACGCATAATTCTTAGCCCTTTTGGGGTGGTCAGCGTAAGCCAAATCGTCGCATTTACTTAATTTACACCCACTGCCTTCCTTTTGTTTGCACTGAATCGCCCATTCGCCCATTCGCCACTCGCACGCCAACGAGGGACACACGCGATATGCTAACCAGGTGCTGAAAGCCGCCCTGAAATTCGAGGGTGGCGAAGCCCTTCGTGCGGCTGAAGGAGTCAACAGAGGCCTTTCGGGCGACTGGCGCGGAAATGTGAGTCGATGGAGACAGGAAAAGTAATTTACTTTGGTCATTTTCAATTTTACCTCAATTTATCCGCACAAATTTTGATGTGGGGCTTCAACATCGCACGTGAACTTCACCAAGGCAGTCAATATTGAGTGACAAGAGGAGTTTGAGGATGCTCAGAGATGTCCTCGCTAAGCATATAATCAGTCGCGGAAGAGGCACAACATTTGGCTGGTGGTGTTTTGGCTGAAAGAAAACCCTGCCATTGCGCGTCATGTTTTAATCCACGCCATAAGAGAGCTTTTCCACCCTCGGGGGCAAATAGGCTATCAACCGCATTGTCTCTCTGGAGACGAGGGCCTAAAAAACAATCTGGGAGAAAATCGTCTGAGGGCTCTGTGTGGCACTTTTTCCACCCCGCAGAGCGCCCATCTTAAGCTCGACGGTACCATTTTCGAATTAGGCCACCATCGTGTCATGGTTGTGAATGAAAATCTCTGAGCCACATCGGTGTTTTTCTCGCCAATTTCATCTTCTTCTTCGCCACCATTGGGCTTTCTTTCTGCCGCCACGATGACCTAGAATTCAAGGGGATGCAGAGCAAGAGAGAGAGAGAGATGAATTCGGTGTGTTGTGTGCGAGGAAAAAAGGGCGGCAGGCACAAGTTGATAAAAGTTTCCTTCCGTTTCTTATACATTCCAACATTGTGAAGTTGATTTATGGTCAACCTGATATGACAAATGCGCCTCCATCTCGCACGTACTTCCGCCCGAAATCTTCGCTCGCATCCGCTCAATAAACAGCTTTTCGGAAGTTATTAAATTTAGCTGATTCGACACACCAGATTAATGGTATTCGCAAAGCCTGGAAATTCACATCGATTGACATGGTTTTTCTCTGTGTGTGTTGCTGAGCATTGACGAGGCGGTTATTTTAATTAATTTCTGCAAAATGTACTGGAGAATAAAACACAAATTCTCCTCTCCAGTATGCAACATATTATATCTCAGGCTGTTTAAACACCACGCGAGCTTTTGGTCGCGGCGAGAGCAACCAGAAAAAAATGAGAGCCTGCGAGCCATGATTGAAAAGCCTCCGTGCTTTTCATGTTGAACAATATTTGTGCATGATATTTTGCAACTGATAGCGCAGCTCAGAGTGGCAAACAAACACGATATTGCCGAGAATTACAGTGATTGGTTTTATGTTTTGTAAAATTGCTGAAATTTACTCCGTGTATGACAATAAAATTGTTTATAGGCCATAAATCACAATTTATACGCTACACTTTCGCGAGGACAAACTTTTTTTTTTTGTTCTCCACTCCAGCCACACATTTTATTCACCAGTCGCTCTTTATTGCAACAATTGTCAAATATAATTTTCCACTGCGAAGCCCCAGAGAGTGAGAAGTACTTTGGCGAAATTGTGTCGCGCACTGCGGCTCACGCGGCGAGCTTTTAGAGCTTTCCGCAGAGCCAGTGGCGGTTCGGGGAGGGTGGGAATTTGGTCGGTGGAGCTTTCGCAGGGGGTATTTGTTTGCCATTTTCATTAGCCCAGATGCACACACGCCCCCACCCAGTGCAGGGGCGCAACCAACACAGGGCAATGATCAAATATTTGATGTGTATAATAATAAATTGTAGCAGAATTATGCCGTTTTAAGTGTATCATTGCCGGCAAAGTCGGCTTAATGGCGGGCACAAACATCGTAGCAATTCGCCATGGGTGGGGCACGAAATTGGGGCGCTGCTGGGGTGTGAATTCGAGCGCGCCCCCCGGAAGGACGGACAAGGGGGAGATAATATGCCTCAAATCAAGACTTCAGACACTTCTCAACCGCCCTTAAATGCATTTTCCATCCCTTTTTACACTCCTCCATTAACAATTTCTACCTTGATTTCCTAGTTTTGCCTTCGACGCCTTCGGAAAGTGCTTAGAAAAGTTCTAACCAAATTGTGAGGTTATGAATCTGGCTTAAAAACTCCTCTTCGGACTAAATTCAATCTCTTTAATTCTGAAATTTGCCACTTTCAATCACAAACAGAGACATTTTCTAGGCTAAAGTGATAATTTTGAGGCAATAATTGACTTTTGTACTGAAATTTCAACCAATCTAAAATGTCCTTTGAACCTAAATGCTCAATTATGATGAGAAAAGGGGAATAATTCCCAGCTGGAACACAAATTTAGTGATTAAATCAATCACATAACCTAGAAAAGACAATAAAAGTGATTTTTCTAGGCAAAATGTGGCTCTTTTTGTTGCAAAAGATAATTTTTACACTTCCGCAAAGCTGTACACCACTTGTGATCAAAATATCTGCCCCTTGAAGGTGTCTCGGTGGTCAGGCTGGTCACATTAAAAGCCTCACCCTCGACCCTCTCGTTTCCTGCCAGCTGCCGTCAATTTCCCTTACCCTGGCTAAATATAAATTCCGCACAACTACGCAATGGCCAGTCCTCGAGGTGGTCGTTAAATGGTCTCTGCTCAGCGTCGAGGTGGAAGCCAAGCGATTGGCGAGGTCACAGCACTCAATCAGCTGCGGGGTGGAACCCTTTGATGCCAAGAAAAAGCACCCCCGTTCGAGGAAAAGCGACTCAATAATCACCTTTGCCAGACTTCCAGCGAGAGTCCAGCAAAATTTGGTCACATTCCAGCGAAATCGTAGGAAGGAAAAGGCTTTTGAGGCAACATTTTGCAATTAAACCATATAAACATAATTGTAATTGGAACATTTTCACATGGCTCAAAAAAAGGGTGGTTCAAATAGTCCCAAACATTTTGAGCTCTTGCAAAGTTCATAAGGGTTTGTCTGGATTCAAGTTCAAAACACCGAAGCGTTTTTATGTTTTCTTGGCATCTCTTGTGCAAGTGCCATAAATTTTCAGCCCCTTTTTGGACAGTGTTTTCGATGAGCTTCGCACATTCATATTCACGCTCGCCTGGCAATCAGACGTTTCATGGAATTTTGCAATTAGAATGAGTGCGAAATAATTACATTTCACCACAAATTCTCATGTTGTACATGCTCAACATTTGTATTGGTCGTGTTTACACACCATCCACTTGCACAGCACCCAGAATATTTATGCTGATTGTATCTCGTCTTCATGCATTCTTCATTTATAGCACAAAAGTTCACTCTGTACATGATATTTTGTGGATATGGAGTGTCTCTTTCCCATGCTAAAGAGCATCGCTGCGCGTCTGTGAGCTTGTGAGGCGCCCGAGACGCAAATCAACAGAATCATGAGGAATGTGCGGAGAGCAAAATATGCAAATTAATAATATCTCTCAAGGGGTTGAGCAATGCACAGAATGTCACGCTCAAAGATGATGAGGGGGTTGTTGTAAATAATTTAATATCTTTCCACATATTTTGTGCGGATGCAATGCAGCTCTTCGTACCTTCTCTTCCAGCAATTCAATTTGCGATTAGTGCGAGCTTTGTGACGCATATATACATATGTAGAAATACCCTAGGCGACTCCAAGGGGGAGATAATATGCCTCAAATCTGTACATCACTTCCAGACACTTCCACAATTCCTCTGCAGAATCTTCAACGCTTCCAGACACTTCTAAACGTATTTGAAAGCATTTTTTACACTTCTTCAACTGTTTCCTACACGAATTTCTGACTTTATCACAAATCTAATGCAGGTTTTTCCGTCTCAAGACGTTTAAGATCTTCAAATCCATAGATTTTGTATTGTAAAAATTGATTTTAATATTCTTTGGTTCGTTCATGGCAAAATTGTGTCTTTATTTTCTAGTTTTCTTTTTTAGAAAAGTAAGTAAATATTTTGTGATCAAATTGTGAGGTTATGAATGCGACTTTAAAATCTTTCTTCGCCCAATTTGAACCTTTTTACGCCAAAATTGCCACTTTTAAGCACAAACCGCGGAAAAAACTTAGCAAAAAGACAATTTTCTAGACTGAAATACAATTTTTGAGGTTATGAGTGACTTTTAAGCTTCTTCTTACCTAATTTGAAGTTGTTTTAAACAGGAAAAGCTAAACTTTGCCAAGAAAAAGAGAAATAATCTCGGAATAAACTCAATTTTCATGATTTGGAGGATTTTTTAATCACCCGAATCTGTCTTAAATCAATCTCATAACCTAGAAAAAGCAATTTAATTGATTTTTTCCAAATAGAATTATGTAGAAAATGCCTTAATTTGCTGAAATAGAAGATTTTTTCAGTGCAAACATTCGACATATTTTACAACTACCAATTCCTAAACACTTCTGTGAAGTTGTACACCACTTCCAGTCATAATATCTGCCCCTTGGGCGGCTCTCAGAGCATTTGCTGGTTTTTCCATCCCCTTCCCAGAGTCATTAACTCCCTTTGTGGTGGTGGTTGAGCAAGAAAGGCAAGAAACTTTCCCCGACTGTGCGTGTGTGACAACAAAGACCCCATTAGCAATCTGCATACAATTATCAAATTGTACTGCTGTGCAGTGAAAATGCCTCAAAGTCATGCAAGAAATTGATTAAGTGTGTCACATGGAATTTTCCAACAACAATTCACAAACTGCCGCATGCAAAGTGAGAAGGATCACTCACACAGGACGTGTAGATTAATCTGACTGGAGGCTGTGTGGCCTACGCCATTGTTGGCCGTGCACAGGTAAATGCCGCCCTTGTGACGATCCATATTCTCTATGATGTACGACGGCGACACGAATTTTTCCTCACCTGCAAGACAGTTCGTGTGCATTAAGACAGTGTGTGGGCTGGCAATTGAGGCCAAGATGCTCACCATTTGGCAGGACGTTGTTCTTCCTCGTCCACGTGATGTTGGGCGTGGGATTTCCCGTGGCGGAGCACTCAAGACGCACGGGTGAACCCTTCTTCACCTGCAAATGTCCTCCGGATGTTACATGATGAATTTTCGGTGGAACTGTAACGAGATTTTGGACGGCAGACAAAGGTGAGAAGCGCACGTGAAGGAGATGGGGGCTTTTATTAATGGACCACCTCACTAATTGATTCAGTTTTGTGCTCTCTGGCAAATGGGAATAACAAGCGTATCTAAGGTGCCGGCCGAAAGGAGCTCCAGTATTAATCATTGAGTGTGTAGTTGGAGTGTATTTTAATTGAAATTCACTCGTGTATCTTCTTAATTGACCAATTTTCCGAGCACAGATGACACCGTGTCGTGCTGATGGAGAGTTTCCCAACATCGGGCGCACTTCGCACCGCTCACACCCCCCCGTCTGGGGGTGCGCACAGAGGGGCGGCGGCATTTGGGATGCCAGCGAGTCTTCGGGGAGGAAGAATTGTCGAGCTCCATAAAGTAAGATTAAAGCGATTAAACTTTTATCACATTTGTGTGTTGCAAAAGGCGAGTTGCTCAAGTCCCGGAAGGTAGATTTCTTGCCATGTTCAACGATCTGTCCTCAGTGGCGTTTATTGTGCTCCGCGCCATAATAACTTTCCCGGGGAAAGCGGGGAGACATTCCGCCAACTTATAAAACTGATAAGGGTCACATAAAGTGATTCATCGTTTAATCACACATTTCCACCCACCAAAACGCTTCTCTCCCAGGTGGCAACACTTGATGAACAGCCGTCGATCGTCGCCTTGTCGCCATTGTGACTCAATTCTGACTCAATTCGGCACTTATTCCCTGATTTTTGACCCTAATCTTGATTTTAACACAAGATTTAAAGCACTGTCAACGAAATTATGTCCTAAAATCGCTGTTAACAGTGTTAAGAAGTGTTAAGCGATTCCACATTGTGTAAGAGAGGAAAAATGTGTGGAATTATAGTGGAATAATTAGTAAATATCTGCGATAAAAATAATTTATTACGAGTATATTGCATAATCACACTTAAAAAGTAAAATTACAATCACAGATTGATGTATTTTTGCAAGATATCTTCAGATTAAGATTTAGCACTCTGCTTTTTACACATTCTTTAACACCACCTCTGCAGATCGATATAAAATTACCCATTCAGGCGATATAAATTGGCTTTACAAAGACTGTTTTAAACTAATATAACACAATTTAAGCATGACTTATTTGAGTGGGAATCTTATGGCATTTCTAAGTCTACAGATAAGAGTGTGACAAAAGTTCACCCGGTGTTATCTGGGTACATCGCAACAGTGCATTTTGAATCATTTGGAGATTCGCGCCTCGTGGCGAGAACTTCCTTCCGCGTGCCAACCGAATGGACTGTTAATGAGCCTCAATTCACATAAACTACGAGATTATGCAATTCTCTCTGTTTCGCATCTCCACAATTAGTGAAAATCCCCTCCAGGGCAGCGACTGAGTTTAAACACACTCTATTTGGGTTGACGATGGCGAGAGCTTTAAGCTTTAAAGCAGGACGCGAGCGGAAAAAAACTGCCCTCTTGCTTATGTGGAAGGGCAAAATGCGATAATTTATGTCATTTGAGAAAGTTTACAGTTGAGGACAGAAACATGCAATTCAAATTACAAACCACGGCCACAATTCATGATTGTCACGAATGGGGTTCTCCGGGTGAGGTTAAGTACAGTGCTATTTTGCGGCACACGAGGAAATTGACGCATGTTTTCATGACCCAAAACTCTCCATGTCACAAGAATCCTCATCTGCAGGACATTAAAATTTTCGCAGAGGAGATATTTCACGATAATGTTCTCATGTGGTGGGCGTAACTGTATATATCTTGTGCGGGAAATCTCCCAAGGGGAAGGGTGGAAAAGCTCAGGGGCTGATCAGTTGGGCAAAAGACATGTACTTTGTGGGCAAAAGGAGAATTTGGCCCAGTGAAAAGCGTCCCGGGAGCTTTTCTCCAGGCCGTTTTCTACACAGAGGCAAAAGAAGTGCGCGGCAATCAACTGACCAACCCCCCTGGAGGACATGCAAAGGAGCAATGATACATTACTTAGTATTTCGACATGGTGCGTTATCTCTCGGGGATTGAGCGACGCAATCTGGCAGATGTAGTCGCCGGCATCTTGGGGCACTGCCTCCTTGATCTGCAGCGTGTAGCCGTTCACTAATCGCACTCTTGGGTCGGGTGTGACTTTCACTGTGGCCGCCGTGAGGATGGCGATGCCACGTTTCCATGCCAGGACGAATGTACCTGCAAAATGCTTTTCGATGTTAGTTTTGTCCTTCGACAGCGCGCCCAGGATCCGCAGAGGAGAGTGGCAAAGGGATGTTAATGTGCTGGAGATGTATAATTACTCTCTGTGTGTTTGTGTGATAGTTGAAAATGGCAAAAGACAAGGGGGAGATAAAACGTACACCATTTCCTAACACTTTTTTTTTAGACTTTTTGTACACTAATTTCCAAGTTATAACAGATCTCTTTAGTTTTCCTGCGATATTTCCCTGAAAATCCACTTAAAACAGCTTTTTTTTTAGAGTCTTTTTCGACCATAACCTCAAAAATATCACTAAGAGATCTTAAGAGACTTCAAGTGACAGCTTTCTAGATGATAAAATCATCTTTTATGATTTGCCAATTGACTCAAAATTGCTAATTCAGAGTCAAAATCACCCAGAAAATATGTTAAAGAAGCGTTTTCCAAGTCCAAATGACTATTTTTGAGGTTATGTTCAATTTTTACACAATTTCAGTTTGTTTTTTGGCATCAAAGATTCAGAATTCGAATGTTCAGAATTGAATGAAAAGGAATTTTTCTTCGCACAATTTAGAATAGAATGGATTGTAAGTTTTTGATCACTTCTTAAGGTACTTTTGGCTGTATTATCTCCCCCTTTGTCAAAGATTCAAAGACTCTCGCATGAATATTCCAGAGTGAGGCAAAGGAACTCAGCCTCGATGTCCTTCTTTTGACTTTCCTCACAACACTCTCCAGATAGCCATTCAACCCTCACCGAATTGGCTGTGTCTACACCCCCGAGTGGGTGGCGCTGCAGCGCTCCATCACCATTCATTCTCCACGTGAAGAAGGAGCAAGATGAAGTGTTGAGGAGGGAAGTGAATGCAATAAATGTCAAGGACTCCAGCACAATCTTTCAATCACCTTGTTTCGACATCTCGCAACATATTTCATCCGGAGATAACGCTCTTGGCAATTGATTGTCCAACAGAATTATTGCATGTCGAACATTTATTTTGCACACGTGTGCCAAGACGAATATCGGGATGAAATACAATTTTTCCTCACTTCAACTTCATTATATTCTTCGCTTTTTTTTCTTTGGTCTACAATTTAAAATTGACTTGGAATGCTCATGATAAATGGGGGAAAAAATTCAAAAGACAGGGAAAAAGCACGCGTGAAATTGTCACTTAAGCATTGAAAGTTGTGGGGTGAAAAAAAAAATTCAATATTTCAATATTCCAGTCAGAATTTTGCACTATTTTCTCAATAAACCTATTAAAACACCATTTCGTGTCATTCTAAATTGCAATTTCAATTTCAATATTGCGATGGCACATGACGTGCATGAGAAAAATCATTTCTGAAGCTTCAAAATTCAATTTTCTCTCTGTGTCTTAAAAATCAAATAATCTTGAACTAGTTTAAAAAAAAAAACTGCAACTGAACAATGTTGAAAGTTCATCAAACCTCCTTGAAATTCATCGATTGATGTTGGGAAAATTGCCAAATATCGCCATCTTTCAATATTTACTCTATTTTGAGAAACTTTTAGTATGAATTTTGAGCTCGTCTTGGCCTTAATTCCGCTGACTTGAGACGCAAAAGAGCGGAAAAGCTGCGAAAATCTCAAACTTGCATACATATCTATGTATGTTGTTGTGAAATATGCTTTAATCCTATGCTGTGCTGTGCATGACAAACAGATGGATCATCAATTTCCGCACTGATCTGTGCCTTGCATGCAACTTCCGCGAAAGCACAGTGAAATTGAGAATGCAAGGCGGAGGGTGAGAACATATGAAAACTTTATGAATTTATTTCCCACCCAATTTTTTTCCACTCGCCGGCTTCTCTTGGGGATTTTCGCGTGGAATTTCTTCGAGAATTCCTCCCATGCTCGCCAATTCCAGAGAGAGGGAGAGAGAGAGAGAGAGAGCCAAGAAGAGCGAGCTAAGTATGGTCAGCTGTGTAGTATATATATTACATTGCAAGGGGAAGATAGTATGCCTTAAATCTGTACATCACTTCCTAACACTTCCAGCACTTGAAATTCTTAGACTGTTTCCACGCTTATTCACAAATTATAGTCATTTTTTTAGGTTTCCATCAGATATTTTTGCCAGAAATCAATGAAACACATTTTTTTAGTCATTTTTCCAGCCATAACCTAAAAAAATAGCTCTAAGAAATCTTTAAAGTCACCGTTTAGAAGCTTTCTAGATTACGACATCATTAATGAACTCAAAATTGCTAATTCAGACTAGAAACTGTCCAGAAAGTTTTTTATATAAACATTTTCGAAATATACATTATTCTTTTTTTGAGGTTATGTTCGATTTGATTGCAATTTGCAGTGTTTGTTGGCATCAATGGTGGAGAATAGGAATGTTTATTGCATAAAAATGCAGAATTTTGCCGATGAACATAAGAATTGATGTGCTAGAATGTGAATTATTCACTAAATCTATCCTTGATTCATTACATAACCTAGAAAGGAATAATATGACTATTTCCAAGGGGAAAATTACTCGTAAGTTTTGACCATTAACTTGCTGATTATTCAATCATTTTTTTCGATTATTTGTGATTATTACTCAAATTTTGATTATTTCGTAGAAAATTCTGATAATTTTCTGAATATTTGATTAAAAATTCTGTATTTCATACAAATTCTGATTATTTTTTGATTATTTTCCGGAATTTTTAATCAAATTTTGAATATACTTGAATAAATGTAAATATTCGAAATATTCTGATTAATTGATTGAAAATAATTTATTAGAATTTCATTATTGAGATTTTTATATAATTTTACTTGGGACTTGTTTATTTTGATTATTTTATTCAAAATATGATTATTTTTTGGGAATTTACTTGAGAAAATATTCATTTGTTTCTGATTATTTAATTCAGTATTTGTTTTTTTTTGTGATTTTTCTCAGGAAAATAATCTTTTCTTTGATTATGTATTCAAAATTAGATTTTTTTTCAATTTTAGTTGCGAAAATAATCTTTTTTTTATTATTTGAATCATAATTTGATTTTTTTTCAATTTTACTTGGGAAAATAATCATTTTTTGATTATTTTACTCAAATAATTAATTATTTGATTAGAGAACATTAAGTTTCCTCAAAAATCGCCTTGTGATTTGCCCCTTGACTATTTCTCTGTAAAAATCAAAAGTAATCCAAAAAATCTGGATAATGAATCAGTAAGAAAGCAGTCAGGAAAAGAATATTGTAAGCTTTTGAACATTTTCACTTCTGCTGAGCTGTACACCACTTTTGACTGTAATTTCTTTCCCTTGTTACATTGGAAACATGCGGTGAACTTCTCAGTTTGAATGCAAAGAACCACGGAGAAAGTTGCCGCTTTGCAATCGAGGTTGCACATAAAATTTCTAAATAATGCGATTCAATGCAATGAGTTTAAAATTTTAATCCCTTTCCTCGAGAAAAGTTTAAGGAAATTTGTTTATTTTCATGGGAAAATGGCTGCGACTTGAGAGAGTCTCGTGCAGCTGTTGCCATCATATTGTCGGAGTTGTTAGTTATTGTTGGCCATCATGGCCAATGGGATTTCCCATCAATGCTCAACTCCGGCCAGAAGATCATCTAGAAGAGCAATTTCAATTGACTTTACTCTCTGAGTGTTTTCCTTTTTAATGACTTTCCTCCGCACTTCAAATGCCGAACAATTTGACTTCTCCACACTTGATGGAGTTTTTCGGTTAATTTGCCAATATTAGACTTTCACCCTTTTCGCCATAATGATGGGGTGAAGTTTTTATACTGTCTAAACTTCAACCCCAGCAAATGCCACTGCATCACGTGCAAGAAGTTAAGTGGATAAACTGCGGAGGACTCTCGAGATCGCAACACAAACTGCGATTTCGCCAAACACGACTGACGAGGAATGAGGAAACACTTAATCAAAGCTGGTGGAATCTCTTAATTGGCCAGCAAACTTTCCCTGAGTATTTTTTAATTAATTAATCGTCGTCTTCCGGAATCACGTTGGCTCACTTTGCTGCAGAAATCGATCAACAATCTGCGCTTCAGCAGCGCAATGAAGCCTGTTTTGCTTGGCATTTCCCTCAATGGAAAAATCAAAGTTGCCGCACAAGAGACAAGAGACGTGTTTGGCAAAGAATCTCCACAGTCATCTTGAATCTCTTTGTCTGCTTGCACATAAATGTAAAGCAACCCTCTCATAACTCGACCTGAGGTTATGTGCATTATGTGGAATCTGCATGCTGTCGTGTTGCTTTTGTGGACTTTCCTGTGGATTTTGTGTTTGGCCATGTGATTGAAATGGATCTGGCCTTAGATAATTTGGTCAGAATGGCTCTTCTGGTGTGTGCCAATACATGAAATGAGGTCAACAATATGCTTTGTTGCATATTGCGCCGAGTGTATTTCCCCAGAAGAATTCTCTCTCTGCGCCAAGGGGCAGATAATACAGTCAGAAGTGGTGTACAGTTCAGCGAGAAGTGTTAAGAAGTCAAGGTATTGAGAAAGTCACAAATATTCCTTGTTCTGAGTGCTTCTTTTACTGCCAAATTATCCTGATTCATTGGATTTCCTTTGATTTTCACGTAAGAACAATCAAAATAATCATTTTTTTAGGTTATGTAAAGAATCTAGGCTAGATTTAATTATTCATTCGAATTCTAGCACATCAATTCTTATGCTCAAGTCCAATTAAGCATTTGCAAGCGTTAAAAATTACTATTCTGAACATTTATTGCCAAGAAACACTGCAAATTGTATTGTGAAGTGAAACATAACCTCAAAAAGAGTCAGATTTAGATGATTTTCAGGATAATTTTGACTCTGACTCTGAATAACACATGATTTTGTACCCCTAAAAGCTTTCAAACGTAATCTTTACAGATCTCTTAACATATATTTTGAGGTTATGTACGTAAAAGATACCCAAAAAGAGCGTTTTTAAGTGAATTCTTACAGAAAACCCGAGAATGGAAACTTAAGAGATTCATTACAG